AACAATATTTTCTGATCTTTAAAAATTAGCTTCGAGCGCTTTGCAGTATCCAGTTCCTAACTGCTCAGCATCACCAATTTTGATCGTCCTTCTGAATCTATAGCTTTTTCAAGCAACGTTACATTGACATTTTAAGCATTTGCAATATCATCTTCTTATTCGTGCCAAACGCTAAAGCTTGTTCTGATTAAGCTTCAGATTCAATTTACCTTGTGTAAGAAGCAATGGGAACTCGTTTAGATGCATTTCATCATTCACACTTTCATCAGGAATCGCACTACTCTGTCGTCTTTGAGTACCGTCTTGAGCAATTGCAAGAGATTGTTGTCTTCAGCACCACCTTAAACGTTTCCATCACTGTCTCGTCACCTAACTTCTTCTCAAATGGAGCGACCTGACTCTCTGCTTCCAAAGCCTCTCCAGCCAACTTCGCTTGATCATGAGACTGCAATGCAGCTTCTAACAAACGCATTTGATTACCCGTAAGGATGCTCGGGTAATCAAATGCGTTTTTAAGAAGCTGCCAATCAATCTCATTAAAACGTTTGAATTTATGGGCATCCGTCAAAAACGTTTCCAAAGTCTTCAAAAAGAAGCCTGTTCTAACTTCGTATACGGCCTAAACCAAAATATACCTGACGCGCCACACAGGCACAACTTTTGAGCTCGTGATCATTTAAGTTCATTTGAGTATGGGCAGCATCTCAAGCCAACGATCGCATTATGTTATCCAAGATAAATCAGAGGGAGTAACAAAATTCTCCAAGATTTTCATTCCACAATGATCGTAATCTACACGCTAGCTCGTGTTGCTCTCAAAATGCACCACGATCATTATAAGACGATTGATATGATGGTAGATATCGACAGCAGACTGCTAAGTTCCGAGCCGATTTTTCAAATTACCTCCGTTACCATTGACAGTAAGGAGTCGAACGACGTCCTCGAGGTTGAAGTTTGATCAATCAAACTGCCCTCGAAATTAAACAGATTGTTTGAGTAGGATAGCAATACGACATGCCGCCCATCCTGGAAAGAATTCTCCAAGAGATCCGTCCTTCACATGACTTATCACAAAATCAGATTCCGTTGATAGTTCCATTTGATTTCGCGGCAATTGATTTTGTGCATCCACGGTTGTCGCAGAGTCTTTGAGCAATTTACAGACGGTCATGCGGGCAAATTTTGCCGTCAGGCTCGAGAAGCTATGTGTGCGAATAGTTTCTCATTCTGATTTGAAATCCGTTTCTTTATCTCCAGCAACTTTGCTTTATTTCGAGTCGACTGAAGACTACTAATGGCTTCATTAGGTAGCCAAGGGCTGGATAAACACGGCAAGATACTCTCTGTGATGATACAAAACATCCTTATCTCCCACTCGTATCATTAGTGTCGGCATTGTTTTGCTCACTTTCATCGTAGCTCTCAAACTCCTCTTCAGCAACGATCAAGCAGCTATCTGCAATAGACAGCGAATCATTCAAATGACCAACGGATACGACTGGATCTTCATGCTGGACTAGATTCGAGTTAGACGCGGAGAATACACTAACATCAAGCAGTAATAAAGTCGAAAGGATCGGCATGAAAATCGTCAAGAATACTGGGAAAAGATACGCAGCAAACCGAACGATACAAGACTGGGTCAGGTAGACGTAGCCTTAAGATTTATCCATCACAAAATTTGATCTGTCGGACTCTCGGGACATCCGATCTGGACAAAGTTGGTCTTGGGATGTCTTTTCAGCAATATACATTCGTAGGCAGAAATTAAGCTGCTGTTATCAAAGTAATTTGAAAGCTTCCACAACTAGTATGCTCGCGCATGACAACAACACTTTTCTATTGATGTCGCTTCGTGTGCATATCTTTTGAAGTACGTCAAGTTAAAGTACATAAATGTAATTCCAGGGAGCGAAAATTGCTCGATGGAAAAGTCAACAACCTTTTTTCATATTTGTACTTCCTTTTATATCGGTTTTGTGAACAAAACTCACAAGTTGAAGTGGCAAAATGCATTCAAAGTCCTAAGTTCGCTCCCTGTGCTGCATGTCATATTTTTTAAATGGACTGAAATTTGATGTATGTCCTCTCTGTCTTACCGCCAAAATCAGCAGCTGATCTTGCTTTCTTACTCTCTGAAGACGAATCAAGATTTCTCTGAGTTAAGTACTGTAACTGTTTAGTAACACAGAGCTTGTCCCTTTACACATTATGTATAATTAAATGTACAAAATACACTGCGGCACAATTGTACGAACTTTGCACTTCGGTATAATGGAGAATATCTTCAAGTACATAAATATCAGAGTATCAGTGAGGATTATGGTATTCGGAACGCAGGAGTTCAAGATGAACGTGGGCTGCCAGCTGCATACCACGAATATTCAAACATTTTTTGTAAGGTGCTGACATTCCTCTGTGCAAGGTGCATGGAAATCCCGATCCACGTTATGGAAGGTCTGATATCATCTGGGCGAGAATGGAACATGAAACACTCAAGTATCTGCTCCCGCGACAAATGGACAAGCTTAATGATCTTTTGTCGATTTGCATACGTAAAATATATCAGAAGAAGCGGCACCCCAACATGGGAGGACTTGAATCGACAGGTGTTGCCAATGTTCAAATCACTTAACCAGGCGTATCAAGTGTGCTTCTTATCTTTGTAATCACGACGAAGCAGTCGAGAAATGTCGGAATGTGTCAAGGTAAAAAACTTCTAATCACCGCAACGGCGTCTGACATTCCTCCTGAGGCGGTAACGGGTCTTCAATGCCAGTACGACTTGTGCCGAGATTATTCGCGTCCAAAACTCCATCGAGAAGGTGGTGGATGAGGATGCAAAGCAAGATGGGGGAGCTAGGGATTGACGCTCTTCGAGCACGCTAGAGGCCATGAACTTCAGCCACAAGGGTGAGAAAAATAGAAAGCTTTAAGCTGTCAAAAATCTCCGCAATCTCGCAGAATTTTATCTGCGTTAGCACAAAACGTCTACACCCTGTGTGCCTCCTTCGCTCTCAGCTAAGGGATATG